CACCACCACCACCACCACCAATCAGTGCGGGTGCGCATCCTTCCAGCCTGTCAGCGCACGCGACAGTGAGAGACAAAAGTAGTGTAAAAAATCATTTATCACCTGATTACAAAAGTCGTGACACTGTCAACCCAAAAGTAAACCGACAGAACTCTTGCATTTGAGACAGATGTGAAACTTTTAAAAGATCTAAATGTTCAGGGTAGACGCAGCTTTGTGAGCGCAAAGCTCCATGTCTGCAGGTGAGTTGGAGCTCAGCAGATCCGTGCACCTGTGAAGCCAGGTAGACACCTGTCGGACCGACCCGAGCGCAGATCCTGCAGCATCAAGGACCGAGAGGCAGCAAAGTGCTCCGGTCCGGCTGATTGCGCTAATTGCTCTGAAACTGGATCCATTACGTGTCATTATGGTGGGAGACTGGGCTGGACAGCAGGCTGCTCCTTTCATCTCATCCCCAAGATTAAATAAAGTCACAATGATTATTGTTTTAACCCGAAACAACAGACTCGAGTTGAGCCATAAGTTAAAGATTCATAGATTCTACTCACAAACATGGTTCTGGACCAAGTGCTCCTTGTTTCATGTCTTTACTGTCCAAACTGACAGAGCGCGCATGAAAAGGGTTAAGACAACTTGGGGAGGCGGCAACAATGGGCCTTTTGTCTGCGGTCCCTGCTCCTGACTGCACGAGTCAAAGGTGGATTATGAAGAGAAATAAAGCCCCCCCCCCCCCCCCCCCCCAACGGCCTCTTACAGTTTGAGTTTGTAACCTAACCTCATTTGTTGCCTCTGGATTTATTTTTTTAAAGGAGTCATCTTCTCGTGGTGTTTGGTTGTTGTTGTTGTTTTTAATAGTGCGCGCGAGCACTTCTTGTCTCAGCATCATTTGCACAAATAAAAACAAATCAGGTTCAACCAAATATTTTGTTGAAGTCAACACGAAATGCATCATTTTCGTGTCAGTAGTTGGTTAAAAGTTTTCACGCGGAGGGAAGACAAACAACTCCCACGGTATAAATTTGCGCACACGGAGCGGGATGACGCAGCGCCTCTCCCCGGGCACAGCGGACTCCTCTCCGCCTTGAGAGCCCCGGACACTCCGGTGGAGAGACCCCCCCC